TGCATACAGCCGCTGCTGGTAGGATGATAGAATTAATCCATTTAATTGTTCTTCAAGATTCCTACTGTGTACATTTTTGCTCCTCTGTCCAAATATGTATAAAATGACAAATTAAACTTAACATTTTCTAATATTATTCCTTTAATCTTCTGTCTCTAGGTGTTTGTGTATCCACCCAGCTATCCATTTTCTTTCGCTTATCCAGGGCTGGGTCATGAGGACAGCAGCCTAAGCAGAGAAGCTTACACTTCCTTTTCCCTGGTTACTTCCTCCAGGTTATCCAGGGGAACACCAAGGCATTCCCAGGCCAGCTGAGAGATATAATCTCTCCAGCGTGCCCTGGTCCAGTGTTCTGCCACTGGGACAAAAACCGCATTGTTCCTCCTGTATCTGAGGTTCAACTAGCAGACAGACTCTCCTTTCCAGCACCCTGGCATGGACTTTCACGGGAGGCTGAGTAGTGTGATTCCCCTATAGTTGGAGCACAACATTCTTAAGGATGGGAACCACCACTCCGGTCTGCCAATCCAGAGGTCTTCCGTCTTCTGTCTCTAGCTGTTTGTTGCAAATGAATTTCCTGCTAACTAATGTAAAATTTTATTTCATTTATTGATAACTGGAGAATACATTTGAGGATCTAAAAAACAAGAAAACTGCATGGATATGCCACTTAGTTCTTTAGTGCAGTCAGTGCAATTCCAATAACAATTTTATTTATATTTGATATACAACAGTTCCTCAAGAAGCTTTGTATTGCATGGTAGAGGCTCTAAAATATTAGAGAGAAAACCTCAACAATCAGCAGATCCCCTATGAGGAAGCATTTGGTGACCGCGGGAAGGAGGAACTCCCTTTTAACAGGAAGACACTTCTGGCAGAAATAGGCACAGGGAGGGGCAGTTATCTGCAGTGACCAGCTGCTGTGTGGGTTAAAAATAAGAGAAAAAGAAAGGCTGCACAGAGAGATAAGGAGAAAACAAACTATAGAAGAGAGCACAATTTAATTCAATGACATGCAGTGGTGGCATGTGATGAAGAGAATGGTAAATAGATGCTCAGTGCATCATCGGAACCCCTGCCATAGTAACACAATTAAGGGATGAGTCAAGGTCACTCAATCCATCTCTAAGTATATGATTTTTTTTAAGGAAAGTTTTACTGCTAATCTTAACCTTACCTGATCATTCAGGACTTAGAAATGACTAGAAGGATTCTAAATTCAATGCATGAAGTATAGCACAGATTTGGCCGCACCTCTTAGTTTTAATGTAAAATGAATAAACCAGAACAATATAACATGGATATATTTAATGACAAGCAACCATAGAACTAGAGGGTTTATTTCCATCTACATGTTTAGTTTACCAGATTTTATGTTATACATTTTAGACAATTACAAAAATAGCTTAAATCTTTTACAACCAAATACCCAACCAAAAAAGAGCAAACAAAAACATCCTCACAAAGTTAAGCTAACACTGTGGTAAAAGAGTTGCTAAAACAAACTCTATCCAGACATGGTGCCATTTACTCATTTAGCCATAAAAAAGACACTGATAGAATCTGCGAAAGAAATCAACACACATATGTGATGTGGCAGATAACTACC